ATTTTATGGTGATGGGTGCACATACCTATAAATTTACTCCATATCACTGAATTACACACTTGAAACGAGTGAGTTTTGTGATATGTAAATTATGCCTTGATACAGTTGTAAAAAAAGGAGAGCTAGAGATTGCCCAACTGTGCCTGCAGATGGTGAGTGGCAGAGCAGTACTGGGATGATAAAGATGCTTTGGACTTAAGGAAGGAGTAGCAAGTTTTTGATGAAGGGTCCAGACCCTCATCAGCATGGCCTTGACGGCACCCAACCCCAGCTAAATGTTCTTGTCACCATTTGACAAACTGAAGGAATACTGAAGGACGCAGAAGGCCCAGTTTCACATTCTAGCCAAGTCCCAGAATGACCGTGTGGCCTTGGGCAGATAACTTCTCTGGGCCGAGTCCTCTCATCGGAAAAACAGGAACATCGCTTGCTACGGTGGCCTTCGCCCCCCAGATTCCGTGGTTCCCCGTGGCTCTGGGACTAGACTCAATATCTCCTCATTCTGAGTCCAGTGCTATTTCTACTTTTTTACAGAGAGCTATTCTGTCTATGGGGGCCCTGAAATACCGGGGGAAGCATAAATTTTTTAAATTCCAGGTGCCTCTGGCCTGTCTGACTGGACATGTCCCGATGCCCCTCCCAGGAGCCTGGGGTTCAGGCAAGCTGGGTTCCCACTGCTGCCCCCAGGAAGGAGGCTCGTGCATCCCCCTTGCAGTCTGCTCAGGTGTCTGACCTCTGCTATCACATCCCTGACCACATGCTACCCTCCCATCACATCTTAGTTCATGACCCAAATGGTTCAGAAATGTCTGCTCATGGCCTCCTTTGCTTAACCTTTCCCTTCTTCGGCTGTCTAGAGCATAACCGTTTATAACACTCAATCAACACCAACTGAGACCACCGTTAAGCCTTCTGAAGGCAGAGACCCCTCTTTTGTCCCCCGGGGTCTATCTTAGTGCAGTGCTCATGGCAGGTCCTCAGAGAACGGTTACTTAAGCAAACGAGGTGCGATGCGGTCCTGAGTCCGCTGCTATGACCTTTGCCAGAAGAGACATCTTGTGTTGTCACTGTTGGGCAGATGAGTCTTTCTTTCCAACGGTGAAAGCTGAAGGTCTTTCTGAAATTCCTCTTTGGGAACTAACTGCTCTACATCACAGGCCTTTGAATTCCCGGGGGATGAAGGGTGGGGAGTTTCAGGGTTAAGAATGGATCTGAATTCACAGAGAGTCAGAAGTCATTCGGAGTCAAACCTCAATAACGCGAATGAGTAAGGTAAGGAGAGCCGTTGTGAGTCAAAACTCAACTCAGGATGTTGGTCCCTCAGAGCTCATCCACTTCATCCTCAGAAAGAAAGTACAGCTCTAGGAATGCTTCAGAGGTGACATCACTAGAATGAGTATTTGGCTTCTCAAAATAACTTTGTGAGGAACAATGAGTGATCCCTTTGAATGCATTAAAAATACCCCAAGCGGGAATACTTCTTTTAAAAATGAACCTAGCAACTAAATAGACACCGACTGATTGTCTTACTTCCAGTTGTGGTAGAACACTAGCTTGGTTCTGTGCAAATATGGACTTTGAAATAAATTTGATGCCTAACAAATTCCAAGCATCTCTAGTAGAACAATAAAATAATGTAACGGTAGGAGACACACGAAACTGAATAATGATCTCTCAGGAGGAAGGAAAGTGTGGGGAACTTGCAAATTACAATTCTCAGAGGGGTTTCAAATAACACTGGGCAAAAAAGGAATGCACTAGATGTTTCTGGAGTTCCTTATAATTGTGTCTTTTTGGCTCCTAACAAAGAATCAACAGCAGAGTCAGGATTATTTTGGACAAATTTCAAGAAATTAAAACAAAAGATAAAAAAACGAGAAGAACAGAGGTCAGTCTGTTTACCTAGTACGGACAGATGGTTGTATTTATGTATGAGTAAGGCAGAGAGTACGTTTGCCAAGAAAATGCTTCAGGTTGGCAGAAGGTAGAAACCTAGTATCGGGTAAATATTTAGCAACACTGACGAATTTTTAACACTAATATCTCATGTGCAGCAGAATATGCTTTATGGTCTGAAATCTCTCCATTCTGTTTTGTAAGTGATGATACAAATCAAAACATAATTATCACCTGTCGAGGATGAATCCTGCACCTGTGAAGCTATGCTTCAAACAAGCCAACTTCCTAATAACAATGGAGAGGAACTGGCCTGAGGAAGTGTGCTCTCTCCCTGTTCCAGCAGCGGGCTCCAGGCCCTCAGACGGAGGGCTGTTGGTACAACCACGAAAAAAAACCGCTGAAACATCTTTTATTATTCCTGTCTGCACAGCCAGCAGCTCTCTGTCTGGGGCTCCACGGCAGACTCCAGACCAAACTGGAGAGGCTCAGCTCTGAGGCATCCACAGCAGCCCTGCCTCAGGTAGAAACCAGACTACCAGGAACATCACGAACACCGCCTCTGGAAGTTAAGGGACAGGTGGCCTCGGGGGCTGCGGGGGGAATGGGCTGAGCGTGTGAAGGGGCACAGAGAACAGGAATCATGGACTCTGCTGTAAGGGAGCTTACAGGGCAGCTGCGGAGACAGGAATCCACAAACACATGCCAGGCAGGAGCAGAATGGTCTCTCAGGCATGGCTGTCAAACTCCAAATTCAGGGCCAGGCAATGATGCAGTGCTCACCGTAAGCTGGCATGATCAGGGCTGCATGGATCTATTATCCAGAATTTATAACAGAAGGTGAGATTTGGGTGACCCCAGGAACAGGCTGGAGGGACAGTTTGGGCCGGGGTGAGGGGATGAGTACAGAGCTAAGGAGGGTAATGGGTGTGGTCTACACGGGGTTTTGAATGCCACATCGAGACGTGGAGGATAGGGGCTGGCAGTGGGTGGGCAGTGAGGGTTTGAACATGGAGGGTCACACGTGCCAGGTGCTGCTTTAGGCAGAGCAACTTGGCAACAGTGTGCCAGAGAGTCTGGATGGGGAGACAGTGGAAAAGAAGGTGGCCTTCTAAAGTGATGAGAAATACAATTACAATTGGCTAGGAAGGAGGAAGTGGCAGGCTCTAGGAAACATCAGATGTTTCGGCATCAGAGTGAGGAATTGCTTTTAGAGGACACAGTCTGCTGGGCCCACTTCTGATCTCAGAACAGGTTTCTTCGAAGGCAGTTTGAAGAGCACGCGGTGCCCCAGGCCCGAAAGGATGACTAGATGGGGCGCTCCCATCCCAACTCCTGGATCCCTGCCCTGCCCGGGCACCACCAGGACACAGAGAGCCCCCTTCATTCTCCTGGATTCTCCTTTCGCTACTGCAGGGAGGCGTGGACCTGGTCAGTCTGCACGTGAGGGAATCAAACAAAAACTGCGTATCAACCTGCCTGATTTATTCAAATGCACGCAGGGGCTTCATACAGTCTTTCCCTGGCTTCTGACCATACAGAAGAAATCCAAACCACAGTCCTTCCCCTCAGGAGAATCGCGGTTAGAAGTGGAGACATGATGAACACACATCAGTTAGTGAACAGCACAAAATGGCATGTAGTTTAGGGCAACATTATGTATTTCAGATCACAGGGGCTAGAGGAGTTGAGAGACGTTTAGAATCAATGACCAAATAATTTCAAACAGCGCAAGAGCCTAAAAATGAGCAGAGCAGCCTTGCTTAAAGGACACTTGCCCTTTCCTTACTGAGGATAAGACTTCAAGACAGAGGACATGTTGGGCGTCGAGGAAGAGGGAACATCTAGTTGATGTGTAAAGATTAAACAATAAGGGGGATGAGCAGTGTAATCACCAAGTCACCTTTAACTGGAAATTCCACATTTAAAATCACAATTCAAAAAAAAAGTCACAATTCAAGTGTGAGACTAGCTGATTCAGTTCCTTGGGCTACCACCGATCAGAGCACGGACACCTAATATGTTTTCAAAGGCACAGAGTACTAGACGCTCGCGCAGGGCTCCCTCTACACGGCTCCAGGAATCCTGAGAACAACCGCGAGGTAAGCACTACTGTCCAATTTACAGATGAGGAAACTGAGGACTTGAGAGGTTAAAGAACTTGCCCCAGGTCACACAACCAGGAAGTGAAGGAGCGACACCTCCACCCATGTCTGAGCCACCCTGTCTCTGGGCCCACCTCCGTGGGAAGGCGCAGCCCGGTTCCCACCCAGGGGGGCTGGCTGCTGAAACTGCTCCCACCGCCCTCAGCAGACGCCTTCTGCTACTGACCAAGCCCTCGACGCAGCTGCAGAGCAGAACGAGGCTCTCCCAGGTTCCACGATGAACGCCTCCAGACGGGACGCAGGCCCCCGTGTTGCTCCTCACTCTGAAACATGGAGAATCTGACTCTTCAGGGGGAATCTACTTTGCACTAGCACAACTTTATAGGCATAGCTACTTGCAGAGAACTAGGTATTTCCAGAGAGACTGTTGGTAAGGCTGGGGGTGTGATGGTAAAGGGGGAGTCCTGGCCCTAAAATAATCTCTGGCCCCAAGCAAGGGGCCTCTGATAAGGGGTCTATGCGTTTCTGAAAAAAAAAAAAAAATTCAGGCTTTCGAGTCAGTTGTGGCTTAGGTGCTTGGTTTTAAACTAGCATCTACTGAGAGCCTCCTGCCTCCATGCTGAGGTCCTACATAGGTCCTCTCATTTACCTGCTTCCTTCCCAGGCATGTCTGGGGAAAGTGCCACCAGGCATCTGCGATGCTTTCTGCACCAAGGAAATCTCTATTCCTCCAAAAGCCTTGTCTTGACTCCAGGCCCAAACCCCTGCAACTCCTCTCTGTGGGCCTTCAACCAGCTGACAGCAGACAGTGGCTGTGGTGAGTCCGAGGCCGGCTGTGCAGAGCAGCGAGCCCTGGACCGTGGGCGTCTGCAGACTGACCATGCTGGGTCCCCGGCTCAAACGCTGAGTCCCGGGAGTGGTCTGCCAGGGAAAACACTGCCCTGGATGGCTGTGCCCTTGCTTTGCAGTGCTGGGTTAAGCATCCCACTGCCTGGCCTTCTATGCTTCTCTCCCGGATTTAAGTACAAGGCTCGTCGTTACAATTCTCTTAAACTGCCTCATTATAACTCCTAAGGATGCTAGCTCAACACCTCCAGCACCTGGCAGGCTTTCTACTCTGTTCCTTTCCTTTCTGCAGACACAAAAATGCCCCGGAGAGCCGGTCTCTGCCAGGGAGAAGTCAGCCACCTTCAGAGGCTCCCCGGGCTGCCCAGAGGAGAGGTCCAGCACTCCCGAAGCAGGCCCCAGGGTTACTTTACAAAACCCAAACCCCAAACCTGGGAAAATTAGTTCCGGCACTGGCAGTTCAAATGGGCAGCCTGCACGTGCCTACGGCCTGGTCCCTGCAGGTCTGACTGTGCAGTAAAGACCGGTTTCAGTTGGTTTGTCCCAGGCCTGAGGGCCCGAGGCAGAGCGGTCTCTGCAGCATCAAAAGCAGAGTGATGTCGGTACCTGCTTCATGGGTCAGAGCCGCCAGGCGCCCCCTCTGCTCGGATGCTCGGGGCGCGCTTCCCCTTCCCCGGCCCCTGGTCTCCTCGTCTCCTTCCTCCCACAGGTCCATGGCCGTTCCCTGTGGCTCACCACAGTACTGGCACTGAGCTCGCCTGTATTTGTTCGGGGATTGAAGGGATGGGACCGTTGATCTAAGGAAGGGGTGAAGCAGTGGGTATCTGAGACAGGCAGTTACTGGGCTGGAAGGCGGAGGGGACGGAGTGAAGAGCAGATGTAGAAAGCAGGAGAGGTATCACGTCCACATATATACTCCAGCACGGTTCCCCCAGCTCTCAGCAATAACCAGCTGGGGCAGGACCACAGCCTGTCTCTCTCCAGCTCCCACGTCCATCTTGCCTTTTACGTGAACATCCATGGGATCCACATGGATGTCCATCTGTCTATGTATCTACGTATCCATCTATCAAGAGTGTTTTGTGAGGGCATCTCTGTGTGTATTAAACATGTGTGTGTCCTCTGCCGCCACCTCCCCCTACATATAAATATAGAAATAAGAAGCTTAGAAGAGTCATCTCTATTTAAGTGGTTCCTCCTCAAACATTTCAATACAAGGATACCTTTCTGAAGTCAAAATTCTGTGGGCTTGCGGTTTTTAGGATATGTTGACCATGAAATGACTAAAAAAAATATACTAAATTCAGTAGGACCTTTAAATGAACACATTTCATAATCAGGAAAAAAAAATGACATTTAAAAAAGTATAGCCCCTCCTTAGGGATCATCTTAAATTTAGTGATGAGAAAAAGAGGCTCTGAGAAAAATGCTCATTGGACTCTCGTTGATGGAGGGGTACAGGTGGACCTTCAGATGTTCAGCTGTGATGATGTTAAGATCCTTAGTCACTTTCAGTTCAAATGGCCACAGACAAACATGTTGATTCATGACTCCCAGAACTTGAAGTTTAGATAGGCTTTGGGGAAAGAAAAAGATAATGGGGTTTTAAGACTACATTGGCCACATATGTTAGGGTAATAGGCCTGCATCACAGAACTTCAACTCTATTTCCTGTGTGAAAGCTCTTTTTGTTATTTTTGATCCAAACAGTCTACCTTCACAATGAAGAGAAGAGCAGGAAAGGAAAGACACTTGTGTTTGTGTGTGTCAATGTGTGTGGATGAGTGTGTACGTGCTAAGGAGATGCCTATCATGGAGAACCTGGCCACTTCCCGATAAAGCAGCGGTCCCCTACCTTTTTGGTACCAGGGACCCGTTTCGTGGAAGACGGTTCTGCCACGCACGGTGGGGGGGGTGGGGTGGGGGGGATGGTGGGGGATGGTTCAGGCGGTAATGTGAGCGATGGGGAGCCATGGGGAGCGGCAGACGAAGCTTCGCTCACTCGCCCGCAGCTCACCTGCTGTCGTGCGGCCCGGGGGTTGGGGACCCCTGCAATAAAGCATATCCTATAGTTGGATTTCTCTGGCACCTCAGAGCCTAAAATGGCCATTGTGTGATTTGTACTAGGAACTACAAAATAACTTTCTAAACACTGAGGTAAAATTCACATACCTGGGCTTCCCTGGTGGCGCAGTGGTTGAGAATCTGCCTGCCAATGCAGGGGACGCGGGTTCGAGCCCTGGTCTGGGAAGATCCCACATGCCGTGGAGCAGCTGGGCCCGTGAGCCACAATTGCTGAGCCTGAGCGTCCGGAGCCTGTGCTCCGCAACAACAGAGGCCGCAATAGTAAGAGGCCTGCGCACCGCGATGAAGAGTGACCCCCACTTGCCACAACTAGAGAAAGCCCTCGCGCAGGAACGAAGACCCAACACAGCCATAAATAAAAAAAAAAAAAAAAAAAAATTCACATACCATAAACGTCATCGTTTTACCCATTTTAAAATACACGATTCAGGGGTTTTTTAGTTATTCACCAGGTTGCACATCTTCGTCTGTCTCCAATCCTAGAACATTTCCATCATCCTCAAAAGAAACCTTGTACCTTCCAGCTCCACTCTCCCCCTACCCCTTGGCAATTACTATCCACTTTCTGTTTCCATGGATTTACCTATTCTGGACACACTTCATAGAAATGGAAGTATACAGTGTGTGGCCTTTTGTGTCTGGCTTCTTTCACCTATAGCATCATGTTTCCAAGGTTCATCCATGCTGTAGCCTATGTCAGTTAGTAGTTCATTCCTATTTATGGCCAAAAAATACTTCGTTGTACCACAATTTGTTTACCTACTCATCAGCTGATTAACATTTGGGTTGTTTCAACTTTTTGGCTATTATGGATAACGCTGCTATAAACATTCATGTACAAGTTTTTGTGTGAACATACGTTTTTAATGTTCTTGGATATATACCTCAGAGTGAAACGGCTGGGTCGCTGGTTACTTTGTGTTTAACTGTTGGAGGAACTGCCAATAGTTCTCCACAGCCCCTGCACCATTTTATAGTCCCACCAGCGACGTATAAAGGTTCCAATTTCTACACAACATCGCCAATACTTGTTTTATTTTTAGTTACCCTAGTGGTGTGAAGTGGTGTCTCATTGGAGTTTTGATCTGCATTCTCCTAATGACTAACGATAAGCACCTTTTCATGTGCTTATTGACCAACCATTTGTAATCTTTGGAGAAATGTCTATTTAAATCCTTTGCCCTTTTTTTTTTTTTTTTTTTTTTGCGGGACGCAGCCCTCTCACTGTTGTGGCCTCTCCCGTTGCGGAGCAACAGGCTCTGGACGCGCAGGCTCAGCGGCCATGGCTCACGGGCCCAGCCGCTCCGCGGCGGGTGGGATCTTCCCGGACCGGCGCACGAACCCATGTCCCCTGCATTGGCAGGCGGACTCTCAACCACTGCGCCACCAGGGAAGCCCCATTTTTTTTTCAGTTGTTTTGTTTTGTTTTATTTGTTTGTTTGTTTTTTGCAGTACGGGGGCCTCTCACTGTTGTGGCCTCTCCCGTTGCGGAGCAACAGGCTCTGGACGCGCAGGCTCAGCGGCCATGGCTCACGGGCCCAGCCGCTCCGCGGCGTGTGGGATCTTCCCGGACCGGCGCACGAACCCATGTCCCCTGCATTGGCAGGCGGACTCTCAACCACTGCGCCACCAGGGAAGCCCCATTTTTTTTTCAGTTGTTTTGTTTTGTTTTATTTGTTTGTTTGTTTTTTGCAGTACGGGGGCCTCTCACTGTTGTGGCCTCTCCCGTTGCGGAGCAACAGGCTCTGGACGCGCAGGCTCAGCGGCCATGGCTCACGGGCCCAGCCGCTCCGCGGCATGTGGGATCTTCCCGGACCGGGGCACAAACCCGCGTCCCCCGCGTCGGCAGGCGGACTCTCAACCACTGCGCCATCAGGGAAGCCCCATTTTTTTTTTTAGTTGTTTTTTTATTGTTGAATTCTAAGAGTTCTTTATAAATTCTGGATAATAGATCCTTTTTAGACATACAATTTGCAAATATTTTCTTCCATTCTGTGGGTTGTTTTTTTCACTTTCTTGATAGTGTCCTTTGAATTACAAAACGTTTAGATTTCGATAAGGGCTAACATAGCTATTTTTCCCTTCTGTTGCTTGTACTTTTCATGTAATATTTAAGAAATAATTGCCTAATCAGAGATCACAAATATTCAGACCTATGTTTTCTTCTAAGATTTTTATAGTTTTAGCTCTAAAATTCAGGTCTTTAATCCATCGTGAGTTAATTTTTATATATGGGATGAGGTAACTGACTTCAGTCTTTTGCATGTGGTCATCCAGTTGTCCCAGCACCATTTATTGAAAAGACTCCTCTCTTCCCACTGAATGGGCTTGGCATCCTTGTCAAAGACCAACTGACCATAAAATGATGGGTTTAATTTTGAACTCTTAATTCTATTCCATTGATCTGTATGTCTATCCTAATCCCAGTGCCACAACACCTTGATTACTGCTGCTTTGTAGTAAGTTTTGAAATCATGAAGTGTGAGTCCTTCAACTTTGTTCTTGTCAAGGTATTTTTTAGGCTTTGGAGGTCTGTTGTATTTCCATATGAATTTTAAGATCAGCTTGTCCACTTCTGCAAAAAATGCATTTGGAATTCTGATGGGGATTACACTGAATCTGTAGGTCATTTTGGAGGAGTACTGCCTTCTTAATATTATTCTTACAATCCATGAACACAGGATATCTTTATCTTTATTTAGGCCTTTAATTTCTTTCAACATTGTCTTCTAGTTTTGAGTGTACAAGTATTGCACTTCCTTGGTTAGATTTATTCCTAATTTTATTTTTTTTGATGCTATTGCAAATGGACTTTTTTTCTTAATTTCACTTTCAGATTGTCCAATTATTTTTGTATATTGATCTTGTATCCTGCAATGCTGCTCCTTGTTTATTAGTTATAATAGTTTTGTGTATGTGTGTGTGTGGGGGGGGGTTCTTGAGGGCTTTCTATATAAAAGATGATGTTTTCAAGTGAATAGAGATAGTTTTACTTATTCCTTTCCAATCTGGATGCCTTTTCTTTTCTTTTTTCTTTCCTAATTGCCCTAGATAGTACTTCTAGTACAATGTTGAATAGAGCAGTGAAAGCAGACATTCTTGTCTCGTTCTTGATCTTAGGGGAAAGCTTTCAGTCTCTCACCGCTAAATATGATGTTAGCTGTAGGTTCTCCATAGATGTATTTTTACATCTTGAAGTTCACCTCTGTTCCTCGTTTGTTGAGTGTTTTGATCGTGAAAAGGGTGTTCGCTTTTGTCAAATGCTTTATTTTTGCATCTCCTGAGATAATCATAGGTTTAAAAAAATCATTGAGTCTATTAGTCATGGTGTATTACATTACTTGATTTTCATATGTTGAATCAATTTTGAATTCTTGGGATAAATCCCTAAACAATAATTCTTAATAACAGCAGGAAGATGATCATTATGCTTATAGCCTGATATACCAGTGTGGTAATTCCATTTTCATGGAATTTTCACAAACAAAACACCCTGGTCAAGTGACCACACAGGTATTATTATTAATCTTCATTTTACAAGTGAAGAAACTGAAACTTAGAAACTTGCCCAAAGATACAACAAAGGCAAATGGTGGAGCTGGGTCCAGGATTCGGATCTTCTCATTTCCAGTCTATATATTCAACCACCAAATAAATAGAAAGTTTTTAAAATTCTACCGAAAAGATTGCCACAGTATCATTATAAGAAAAG